TTATTTTTGTGTGAGTGTACCGTCAAATCAGATCTGACTGGTACAGGAGGAGATTGTCTCTCCTTCCCTGGCAGAGCATCTGGTGGACATTCTGCCCTTTTAAAGCACAATGTCAGCTTTCTTCAAACTGAACCTCCAAAGTCTATTCAAGGTCTCCCATCAGTTCTGCGTCTGGGAGAAGGAATGAGCCTGGCTTACACGGGATTTAACGTGGTGACATACTTCTTTAAGCTAAAAGCATAGCTAGTCCATCTCCAATAAGTTCTAGACCGACTTACTGTTTCCCCTAGGTTGTGGCCTCTCAATAATCTATCTAAATTAGTTTTACAACTTATATCATAATATTCACACAATGCGAAGAACCTATAGTAGAAGTTTTCCCCGTGATCTGCATATTACAGAGGTGAAGTGAAAGTCCTTTAAAAAAAAAAAATCAGAACAGAGATTAAAAAAGGTTAAGGGGAAAAGAAGATGAAGCTGTTCTAAAACCAAATCCTGATTAACACCATAAGAACAGTCTTTGTTTTGCCTTCTAAGGGAAAAACTCAATAATTATGTGGGCTAATCAGCAAACAGGTATGCTTAAAGAAAGGACTCACAATCATTTTGGCCTGTTTATCAGAACTCACGAAGAAAGCGAACAATGACAATATTTTTTGTACAGACTTCAAGCCATCAAGTCATCTTTGGACAACTGGTGTGCTATTTGGTTAACTGAAGGTGAGCCCACTGGTGCAGTCACTGTGTTAATATGGGGTGGCTATGAGGTGGAGTCAAGTCAATGGCAACAGTTTTTAAATTGTATTTGTTTGATGTGTGTTTTAGGATATGGAGTGTTTATAGAAGAATGAGGTAGAAATTTTGTGCTGCTTTTTGCTTTCTTAACCTTTCTATTGCAGGCAATGTTCAGCCAGAGAGCTGTTCTTGCCTGGCCCTGGGCCTGCACTTACCAGAGTTTCTTGAAACTCCCGTTTGTCGTCAATGTCATCCACCTTGTAGGACCCGGAGAGGCTCAGGTAGTAGTAATAGTCCATGCTGGTGATGCCGAGGCTGTGCTTCTGCTCTGCAGAGGCCCCTTCGATGAGCTGGAACAAGAAGAGACGGGAAGGCCATGAGGAGACCACGATGCACTCTCCCAATCACTTCCTCTTTCCTGCCACCGCCAGCCCAGAGTCTCCAATCTCTGCTTTCAAAACAGATATGGAAGCAGTCTTCAAACCGCAAAGGCTCTTCAGAATATCTGATCTCCCTGTGCTGTTGTTACATCCTGTGGAATTGGTTCTGATTCTCAGTGATCTTATAGACAATAGAACAAAAGCCTGACCAATCCTGCACCATCTTCACAATCATTGCTGTATTTGATCCTATTGTTGCAATCGCTATGTCGACTCATTTCATTGAAATAGTCTTTTTTTTTTTTTGCTGCACTATAATTTACCAAGCATGATGCCTTTCTCTAGGAACCAGATTATCTTGATTACATGCCCAGAGTATGTGAGATAAAGTCTCATCATCCTTACATCTGTTGCTGATAGTAGTCTCAAGTCACCCCTTTAAACATGGGCTCTTAATTCTCATAAAAACTAGAATTTGTTCTAGTCCAATGCAACAAAAAACAAACACACAAGTCAGTTTCTGACTCATAGGTAAATTTTTATAGGAAAATACTGTCCAGCTTTCTCCTGCAAGGCTCTTGTGGGATGTGAAGCAATGGCCTTCCTGTTAGCAGTCTAACACATTAAAAGAACTAACTGCTATGTTTTCACAAGTCTTATAAAATCAGATTATAAAAAACAAGCTCCTGTTAGGACTTCTTATGGCTTCGTAAAGTGGAGCTAGAGCTTCTATGCCTTTTCTAGCAGGACACATATTAAATAAACAAGCCTTGCTCCAGTCTCTGGTGTTCGGACATTTCCAAAACATCTAACTGTCTTTCATCATTCTGTTTAAGCTCTGAGGTCTGCCTTTGCCTGGTGACACCCTCCTAAAGAACACCAATCAGTGACAGGCTGGAAGATGCTCCATAACCAACTTTAGGAGGAAAAAAACTCACAAAATCATAGCATTTGCCAATTTCTGTAGTGTAAATACCCTAACATAACTGACTTCAAAGTCACAACAAGACATCAAGTAAAAGAAGCAGTAGAAAGAGATGCTCATAGCCCATGTGAGTCAGCTCCAGCACACCACTGACTCCACCCATCAAGTATTTAGGAAAATAAAGCAAAGGCCACTCTAACCACATTCTTCTCTCTTTGTCAAATTCTTCCTGGCATCTTGGTTTCTCCTTCCCCAAAAGAGGGGACTATTACTCCATTACTGAAAAGTTCTAGATCATCTCATGACATTAGATTTCCTTAGTTTTCTTTCTCATCTTCTCAATCTTTCTGGACTGCTCCCTCTATTTTGTTCTTTCTACATTTTGTATAAAATTACTTAAGGAGCAATGAAGTCAGTCTGAAGATGAAGGTACGCCTGATTCAGATCATGGTCTTTTCAATAACCTGCTATGCATCTGAGAGCTGGACAATGACTAAGGATGACAGAAGAAGAATGGATGCCTTTGAGTTTGAGTTATGGTGTTGGAGAAAAGTACTAGATGGAGTCCCATGGACTGCTAAAAGAACAAATATGTCTTGGAGAGAGAACAGCCAGAAGGCTCCCTGGAAACAAAGATGACAAAGCTTCATCTCACATACTTTGGGCATGTTGTTAGATAAGGCTATTCCTTGGAAATCCAGACATTATACTCGGAAAGGTGGAGGACTGACGATAGAGAGGAAGACCTTCAACCAGATGGGCTGACATAGTAACTGCTGCAATGGGCTCAAATGTTACAGAATGATGCGGATGGTATAGGACAGGACAAAATTCAGATCTCTGTTCAGAGAGTCACTCTGAATTGTACTTGACTCGATGGCACCTAACAACAACTTTCTGTCTAAGAAAAAGTTTCCCCCCTTCTTGTTCAGTTTCTTAACTAACACTGCACTCTTGTTTTCTCTTCCCCATTTTCTTTCTCTTCCTTCCAGAAGGCTTTCCTTGCCTCTCAGAGCATCAAGTCATAGAATCTACTTTTGTACCACCAGTAAAGCATCTGCACTCTGGCTTCTTCTCACTGCCCTGCAAAAATTCTTGTCTACTCTCTAGTGGGTAAATATAACAGCACTTTCTTGATCCCCAAGTCCTTGCTCTGTCCCTCTGCCCCAACAGGACTGAGTATCTTGATCCTCTTTGCTCATTATTCTCATCTTTCCCCAGTTTCATTGAAATATGTGGAGTCCTAGAACTCTTCCTTCTGACTATTCATCATTCTATAGTTGTAGACCATTTCCTAGACCCTAAGTGGGCATCATTATCTCTCCAGAGTTATTCCTACAAGAATCTCATATATTTCACAACTTTAATTATTCCTTTACGTTAGAATCATGAATAGTCTTCTCCTTGAGTTCATACTTTCCCCACCTCTCCCCAACTTACCCCCATTCTAGTGGTTTCCAACCTGTGCAATGAGGACTCTTGAAGGATATGGGGCTTGCATTTACTTAAAATGCCCTTAAATTATATTATGCACCTTTGTCCAGTGCTCAAATAAATAATATACTGTGTGGGCTACACATGAAATTTGGAAATTATCCATACTCGTTTTTTTTAACATTATTTAAAAGTATTACTGAATTCAGAGAAGGCTTTTGGTCATTTATGTACATTTTTTCACCTGTCAGATACCACCTAAAATAATTATTTCTCATCATATAAGATGTCTGTATAGTTGGAAAGATTGAATTGGAAGTACTAACACAGTTTAACAATTAAGTTGTTTTCTAATTAAACCAAGGAACAGTTGTTACATCCCTTTTTAAGGAAAATCTAAAATAGAGCCCTAATAGAGATAAGACTCCTGGCATGTGACTGTAGCAATAGGCTCAAGTATGCCAGAGATGACGAGGATGGTACAGGACAGGACAGGGTTCAGATTTGTTGTTCACAGGGTCACTTAGAGTTATACTCAACTTGATGGCATCTAACAACAACAACAACAACAACTGGCATGTCTTATTTTACTGCATCACATTTGTTGTGCTTCACAGATTTCTTTATTTTTCCAACATCATGGGTTCATAACAGTTCTCTGTGTAATATATTGGTAATTATCACACCATTTCCAACTCTTTCCATAAAGCTATTGTATACTTAATAGACTTGAGTATAGATAAAGATTTTTTTATGTACCAGGAAACAAAAAAATTAACAGGACTTGCTTTATTATGGTGGGTTTGAATGGAACTGGCAATATCTTAAAAGTATGCCTCTAAAATGTAAGGAAAAACATTAAAAAGATACATGTCTGGTATCATTTTATATATATATATTTAATAATTTTAATGAACATCTACAGAGATTTTGGATTTCCATTCATTCATGGCTGCACTTCTCTCCCCGCCCAGCCCTCCCCTCCATCATTATCTTTTTAAGAAACTGAAATAGTTGAACCAAATGATAGTTAAAGTTGGAAATAGAATATAAATGTATTCACACAACTGCCTTATCTGCAAAGTCACGATGTCTTTTGAGGGTCTAGGTTGAAATTTACGGACTTCACATTAAAGGTCTTAACTCTGCGTCTGAGAGTTCTGGTGGCCTAGTGCTAAGAAGCTACGTGGAAATGTCAAAAGCACACAATTCAAATCTACCAGCTGTTTCATGGGAGAAGGATGGGCAATCTCCTCCCTTGCAATTTACTGCCTATGAAAATCTGCTATGGGGCAGCTATGAGGGCAGTTCCAGTTCCACAGCACACAAAAGACACTACCACCCTATTTTCTGGTCTTTGGAACAACACTTGCAAAGTGGCTGAGGCACGTTTCACCAGCAGGCTTTCCTCTCTCCTATATCCACTGCTTTTTTTTAGACCAACTGATCTCATTGACAATTCTCCCTTACACTTAACCATCAATATCTGTATTTCTCCAAAATGATCTTAAACAGTCTCCCTGTATTCATTCCCATTGGGCGAAGAATCAAACACTCTTATTGTTGTTTACAATTATGTTAATACTGTATTGACTATTTAAATTTAGGAAACCTTGTGTCTAAATTAGGAAGAATTGTGAATGAATATACTCACAATTGTTTTTGCACACTGACTTGCACATATGGTAGGAACAGAGATCGTAAATATGAATAGGTCAAAAACACAGTAACTATTGATACATATAGTGAAAATGAATAAGGAAGACTGAAGAAGAATTGACGCTTTTGAATTGTAGTGTTGGCAAAGAATATTGACTGTACTATGGACTACCAACAGAATAAACAAATCCATCTTGGATGCAGAGCAGTGAGAATGCTCCTGAGAGGCACGGAGGGTGAGACATGGACTCACATACTCTAGGGTATGTTATCAGGGGGGCCAATTCCTGGAAAAAAGATACCATGTTTGGTAAGGCAGAGCAAAAAGAAAAAACAACAGAAGACCCTCAAAAGGCAGACTGACACAGTGTCTACTGCAGTAGAGTTTATGAGGCTGACCCAGGACCAGAAAGTGTTTTGTTCTATTGTACATGGGTTGCTAGGAATCAGAACCAACTCAGTAACACCCAACAGTGTGTTCAGGCTTCCATGATGAAACCTGACAACTGAGGGGGGGATAAAGAGAAGAAAGATTAGGAATTGGGCAGAAATTATATAAAGGAAAACCTGGTAGAATATATGAAAACTCCGCTCTCCGGGGTTCCTCATCACCACCCTGGATTTTTCCAGAAGGAAGTTGGAGATCTTTCCACCATCTGGTTCTCCACCTGGGCTGAACTGAATTTCAAAGTATTTTCCCTGCAAAAAAAAAAAAAAGTAGAGGAAAGGATTTCCTTCAATAGTTGATAAACAAAAAACCATGATATTCCAAATAGGCTTTTGATATGGTATATAATTCAAGGAAATTAATTTTAAAAAGGTATTGAGAACCTTCCTGCATTCTAGTCTAGACTTCCTTACCCTTCCTTTCCCTCTATGCTCTTGTCTAATCACATAAATCTATGTTTAGAGAGACTCTATCGTTCTAGCCTGACTAAATAGGGGAAAAACTATAGTCCTTGCCAATTTCCTCCCAGTAGGTACGTGAATCCTAAACCAGGAAGGTGTAAGAATGGTCTAGAAGACCCAATGGGCCCTTGTTTAACAAGAGTGAACTCTGTCAGCTTCTTTGAGGGGAAGCAAATCTTCCCCAGGCAGATATCCTGATTTGAGAAAAAAAGTCAATGATTTCTTCCTTGAAGCATCCAAAGTTGTCCTCTGAAATAAAAATATGTGATTATAGACAAAGTTCTTTTCAGTTAGATCTGAGTATAGGGATTTTTGTGGTTGGTATTATGATTATTATTTCCCTCTTTATATTATAGCTAATAGGCATAAAGGAGAATGAAAAAGCTACTCACATGAAGTAAACAATTTTTTTTTCTTTCTTACTAGAACATAGATTGCCTCGAGTCTTCAGAAATTTGTATGTCATTAGTGGTTAGGAGAGTAAATGTAAAAATATTTAAAAAGAAAGTGAATATTAGGAAATGGTGTAGCTTATGACCCTTGTGGAGACCAAGTCTACGGCTTACAGCCTCTGAAAACTGCTGGAGGATCAGCTATAAGTTGGTTCTGATTTGATGGCATATAACAGCAACAATATAAACTAAAATATATATAAAACTTTGAAAATGAAACAACAAAAAGATGAATAACTAAAAATGAGATTCAAACTTCCACCAAACACATGAAAGTGTTCTCAGGTAATTATTCATCAGAAATGCAAATTTAAACCACCATTTGATACCATTTCATTCTCACTAAGATGGCTAAGATAAAATAACTAATGTTAACGGGGATGTGGTGAACTGATTAAAAATCTTTACCCATTTGCTGGTGAGAATGCAAAATAGTAGAGCCATTGTGGAAAATAGTATGGTGGTTCCTCAAAAACTAGAACAACCATATGATCCAGCAATTCCACCCTGGCTATAAGCCCAGGAGATTTGAAAGCAGGGACTGAAAAAACGAGACATGTCCTCAATGTTCATTGCAGCATTGTTCCCAATAACTAAAAGGTAGAAGCAATCTAAATGTCCATTAACAGACAAATAAGTAAACAAAACATGGGACATGCACACCATGGAAAACTGCTCAACCAGCAGAAGAAATAAAGACTTGATACATGTTCCAGTATGAATGAAGTTGAATGCATTACACTGAGCAAAAGAAGTCAAACAGAAAGAGACAGATATTGTATGACTTCACCTATACAAAAAAATTAAGGAAAGGATAATGAACACAAACCAAAGTCTGTTAGTAGTTCAAAGGGACAGAGAAAGGGAGGGAAAAGAGAGTCAATTGTAATGGGAAAAATCTCATTAGGGGCAGAATTGTATTATAATTGTGTTATAATTGCTGTTAATGATAGCTTCCTATATCTGAAGGAAGTTAAATAAGCAAAAGTTGTGTGATAGAGCTATGTAAAAGAACAACAACAACAAAAAGAGGAGCTGCCGAGGTGGCTTATGTACAGTCAAAAACTTTCGCAGGATTTGATTTCTTTCTTTGGAGGTTTAGAGTCATGTTTTTATGGGACATCCCAAATAAGTGGCCTGATAATGTGTTTAATGCCTTTTGTTCTATCTCCTCATTCATTATGTAGCAGCTAGGATCTTAAAAGCTTTTTTTGTGGCCATCCAAAAACACAACCATTGGTCTTTTTTTTTACCAGGAGAGTTAGAAGAAGAATCAGAAATAACAAGCAACAACAATTCATTACTGTTAAATTGGAACCGACTCATAGCTTATCCTCCAGAGAATTTTCAGAGGCTGTAAATCGCACAGGAGAAGGCTGCCTATCCTTCTCCCATGGAGCAGCTGTTATTTTTGTTAGGTACTATTGTATTGAGTACGACCCATAGCAACCCTATGAACTACAGACCTGAACTCTGTTCTATCCTGTGCCATCCTCACAATTCCTGACACACTAGGGCCCATTGTGGCAGTCACTGTGTCAATCCACCTGGTTGAGGGTCTTCCTTTCCTTCGATGACACTCTGCTTTTCCAAGCATGATTTCCCTCTCCAAGGAACAGAGTCTTCTGGCAACATGCTCAAAGTATGTGAGGCAAAGTTTTCTCTTCTTTGCTTCCAAAGAGCACTCTGGCTGCACTTTCTCCAAGATAAAATTTTTGCTCTTTGGCAATCCACAGAATGTTCAGTACTCTTCTCCTACACCACATCTCAAAGACATCAATTCTTCTTCTGTCATCCTTATATACTGTCCAGCTCTTAGATGCATAGCAAGTGATCAGAAAGACCATGGCTTGAATCAGATGTACCTTAGTCCTCAAACTGACATCACTGCTTCTCATTAATTTGGAGAGGTTTCTAACTACAGACTTTCCTAGTGCAATATGTCTCCTGATTTCCTGACTGCTGGTACCAACAGTGTTGCTTGTGGATCCAAATAAAATGAAGTTGTTGACAGTTTCAATTTTTTTTACATCAATCAAAATGTTGCCTATTGGTCCAGTGTTAACAATTTTTGTTTTCTTGACACTGAGATGCAATCTATATTGAAGGCTACATTCTTGATCTTCCGCAACATGTGTTTTAAGTCCTCCTCAATTTCAGCAAGCAAGGTTGTGTCATCTGCATAATGCAGGTTATTGATGAGTCTTCTCTGATCTTGAAGCCATATTCTTCTCCACAGAGTCCAAGTTCTTGAATAATTTGTTAAGCATACAAATTGAATAGGTATCCTCCATTGGTGATGGAGCAGCTAGTAGATTCAAATTGTACACATTAGTGTTGACAAAGCGACCCTTTATCATTAAGCCACCAGAGCTCCCTGATCAGTGTAATTGTTGTTGGTGTGTGCTACTCAGTCAGAACCGATCCAGAGCTGACCTTCCAGTGGGTTTTCAGAGACAGTAAATCAATCACATGGGAGAAGACTGTCTCTCCTCCCACAAGCAGTATAATAGGACCTCTAAACACTGATATATATAAACGGAAATTGGGTATTATATAATGTTTGCACTTAAAACCAAAAATCAGATCATATTACACATATTATCCTGTAGTTTATTTCTTCCTTAATTTAACAAGATCTTATGAATGACTTTTAAAAATAAGTAGGGAGTCTGGTGGCAATGTCTATGAAGAGTTGTGCTGGAAACCCAAAGTCTCCAACCATTTGAATCCAGAACTTTCTGCAGGAGAATGATGGGCAGCCTCCCCTGTTATGATTGACAGCCTCCAAAACCCAATGGAAAGTCACAGTGCCTCAGAACCAACCCAACAGTAGTGAGCTTGTGCTTTTAATTAAGTCATTATTAACAGGAAACTTTTACTCTCCTGGGAAAAACGGGTTATTCATCAACTGTTAGCGTCTTTCCTCAGGTATGACTGGCCCCCCTAAAGTGTGCCCAACTGAACAGACATACAGGACATGCAGTAGGGAATTAAGGGGTAGGAACGGGGATAAATCTGAATAAGTGAGTGAATGAAATACCAATTTATTTATAAACTTCCATTCAAATCCCAATAGAAAACCAAACCCAAACCTAGGGGTAGTTGTACCCTGTTACCTGGGGATACCATGAGTTAGAATGTTAGCTCTATCCGTAAATAAAAAATATACTGTCTATGAAAAACAAAACAAAACAAAAAAAAGAAGAGTTAATTTGGCCAACTCAGAATTTTTAGAGGCAGATTAAGATGGACACTTAGGGGAAAGGTCAAAGATCAAAAAAGGTCAAGAGGAAAGTTAATTCATCTTTCCTGTCTGATTACCTAGAAACTGTTTTAGAATAACACAACCTAGGAACTGAGTTGGCAGGTAGTGGGAGGTTGGGGGGGTGCGGGGGAGAGAGGTGGGAATGAGAGAGAAAGAGAAATGACCCATGAGTAATTAGCTTGAATGATACTGGCCAATCAGGAAACAGAGGGCAACTGACAGACATGTTTTGTCAGGGAACTTGATAATTATTACATGTAAAAACTTAACAAGACCACTCTTAGAAATAGACATTTCTTCCCCAAATGGAGAGCTAATAAAACATTGTTTTTCTTTAAAATCCTCATTAATTTATTTTGAAATTATCAGAATCAACTTCACAAATGGATCCTGCAATGCTTTAGATCAACACATGATCTATGGTTAAGCTGCAAAATCTATAAAAGTCAAAGCAACTTGGTACACATTAATTTCTTTTTCAGTGTAGCATTTTCCCCAAGAGAATATAGTCATATTCATCCTTGCCAGATTTTCTGTTTACCCCTTCAGGAGACATCCAAACAGAAAAAAATACCTAAATGGGCATCCACAATAGTCCATTTAGTCGAAATTTCCATTACCAGGGGTAAGTGGACCAGTTAAGTAGCTCTCTGTGAAGCCTGTTAAGTCTTTTTTGGATGTGATTATATTTAATGACTATATAAACATATGCTCAAAGCTCTAATGGACATGGTAGGGAGTGCCTTTTTAGACAACTCAGGTAGCTGGGTTACTCTGGCTGATTAAGAGGGTGAACAGACTCTCAGTGGAAAGAACCTCCAAGGTGGAGAGAGCCAAAGTGTCCACTCATTTCAGTGTCCCTAGACCATGAAGTTCCAGGGGCAAAATAATTCTTGCCCAGCTACAAAACCTGGGATGCCCATCATGTCACTCAGATAAACATCTTTGTGTGGAAAGGTCTTATCTCCATGTTGCAAAGTAAAGTCCTCTAAGATTAAAACTGATATTTTTAAAAAAAAAATTCTCTTATATCTTTTTTTCCCATAAAATCATTCCCATTATGTTTTATAAAACTAATCACCACTGAACTGTACTCATCATTACTGTCTTTCCAGATCTCCACCAGATCTGTCCCATTTCCTTACCCTTTTTCCCTCCCCTCACCAAATTTTGTGACGCTATGATTTCCTCTCCTGCCCATCCTCACCCCTCTGCTCTCACCACCCCTCCTTTGGATCCTTATATATGTTTTACTAGCTATCTTTCTATTTTTGCAATAATGGTCTTATGCCGTATTTGTCCTTATGAGACTGAGATAGTTCATTCAGCATAAAGCTCTCCAGTCTCTCCCAAGTTACATAGTAATTTTCAAAATCATGGCTCCTGAGTGCTGTGTAGTATTACATCATGTGAATGTACCAGAATTTCTCAACCCACTCAATTGTGGTTCAACATCTGGGCTGTTCCCATGTTCTTGCAATTATAAATAATGCTACTATCAACACTTGTGTGCAAATCTCCATTTGTGTCTCAGTTCTAATTTTCTCACGGTATATTCCTAGCAGTGGAACAGCTGGGTCATAGGGAATTTCTATGTTCCAAAACTGATATTTTTATTTTCTCTAGTATGGTGTCATGGATGTTTCAAAGTTGTAACCCCAGTACCTATGAGTGAATGTGACCTCATATGAAAATAGGGTCTCATCAGATGGAGTAGGGTAGGTCTCAAGGAGAATAAAGAGAAAGGGCTACACTCAAGGAGAAAATGCTGAGAAAAAGCTTCACCTACAAGCTGAAGAAGGCCAAGGATTGCCATAAGAAGCCAGGAGGCATAGAATAATTTCTCTGTCATATGATTCTAGAAGAATAAGTACAGTTCTATGTTGGTTAGAGCTTCCTGGACCCTGACACAATCAATACATTTGTGTTCTTCATAGCCACCTACTTTGTGCTGCTTTGTTAGAGCAGCCCTGGGAAACTAAAACAAGCCAACTAAGGCAGTCAAAGTACACACTAAAGTCAAACAGCATACTGCTCTAACATGAAAAGATGGAAGAAAAGGCCTCCTGAGAAAACATAAATGGCTCCTGTTTCCTCTAGGACACCACACTTAAGTCAGGAAAATCAACATCATCAATCAGGTGGCATTCTCCACGTCAGGGCAGAAACTCACAAATCGGCTGGAGTTGTTGTTCCGGACAGTCTTGGCGTTCCCGAAGGCCTCCAGCAGAGGGTTGGACTGCAGGATAATGTCCTTCACGTGCTGTGACAGCAAATACACCAGAGGTTAGGGAGGTAGGACACTTACCAACACAACAGAAATAATTTTCCCCGAGGACTTGGTTTCTGAATGTGGTGAAGAGGCTTCAGGTCTCATGTCTCTGGTGGTTTCTTCCACAGGTTGGGAAACCAAAGCTTACTCGGGTCTCCTAATTTCCTTGAGTTGATGCCAGATTCCCTGGGGCCAGAATTGCCACCAATAAGTCATATTACATCAACCAATAAATCAAGTTCCACAAAGATCACACTGGGTTTTCAAAGTGATTGTTACAGCCTCACCCTGCATTCCCAAGAATGCCAGCTATCACCAAGGAACAAGAGGAGCTAGAAGGGGATCTCTCTGTTGTCCTTTATGGAGCCTATGCTATCAATAGAGAACTCTGAGGTCCTCATCACCAGGGAGTTGCACTGCTAACCCAAAAGCAGGAACCTTACTGGCAGTTTGAATCTGTTAGTTGCTCCATGGGAGAAAGACAGGCAATCACTTCCCAAAAGATTTACAGCCTCCAACATCTGTTGGAGGGTCAGCTATTGATCAGATCTGACTAGATGGCAATAAGCTCTAGTTTTTTTCAGTTTTGCTATTAGGACCCCTCCCCAGCTACTCCACCTACATATTCCATCTCTACTTCCAGTTTCTTTATTACAAATGAGAGTCATATAAGGCTCAGGAGGAAATCAAAGCACCTTCTACAAAAGACTGTAGAAACACAGTCTCGGGGCTTCTTAAATGTTAATGGGGCGGAATTACTTGCAAATCTTGTTAAAATGCAGGTTCTGATTCCATAGGACTGGGGTGGGACCCCAAAATCCACATTTCTAATGAGTTCCCTGGTTCTGCTGGTTAAACTTTGAAAGCTGACACATTGAACAGCCAGGGTCAACACTGAATTGTGTGAAATAATAATCCTTGGCCTACTGGAAGGCAGACATTTGATTTCAAAACCCCCTGCTTTATGCCAAACTGAAAAGTGTGCAAAGCACACCAGAGTCATGGGACAGCTCCACAGATAGGATTTGATGTTGGAGAGTTCTTTGAAGAAATGAGTCACTCCTTGTACTTCTAATTATTCACATGCTATGGTTAAACATGTTCCAGAAATAACAAGTTTTCTGGCTTGGGCTCTTTAGCTACTGACTAATTCCAAGCCAAGACCTCTGTATCATTGTCCTCATAAGAAAACAGGAAGAGGAAAATCAGCATGCAGTGTCTGCAGTCTGGTAACCAAGCAGTAGTCTGTAGCAGAGAGGACCAGATTAAGGCATGGCCAAAGTAAGCCTCAGGCAGCCTGCTGAAAATGCAGGAGAGAGACTGACTGCCATAAGGAATGAGAACTGGCATTCCATTCCGACCAGGCAGTCGTCATTGGCAGTGGCACCAAGGACAAATTCTGGGTGGTCTCTCTACGGGGTTAGTTTCAAAGCCTAGAAACATATTTCCAAGCTGTCTACTTTCCTTTAAAAATGCATGAATTTTTACGATCTTTTATTTTCTTTGTAATTTTGAGTGGCATATATATGGTCATTTATATTTTATATGTTTTGTTTGCTGGCCAAACACATCTTTTATCAAAACACTGTTGTTGTTAGGTGCTATTGAGTCAACTACAATTCATTGCAACCCTATGAACAACAGATCTGAGCCCTGTCCTATCCTGCAATCATCCTCACGATACCCGTCATGCCGGAGCCCATGATCACGGTCACTGTGTCAACCCATCTTGTTGAGGGACTTCTTTTCTTTTCCAGCATGACGGGGTGGGGGGGAGGAAGAGAAGTATTTCTGTTTTGTTTTGTTTTTTTAAAAAGTTTTCATCAACTACAATGACACCCAACAGAATTTTGTGGCATGTGCTAAAAAATGTAAGGAAAAAGAAAGAAAACAAATTTAGGTAAAGAAACAGCCCACTAATACAAGAGCATCCTGGATTTCCGTCTTTATGTCACCTATCTGGAGGTTAGGGTACTGGAGAGAGGCAAGTTGACCCAACCATATCAACATATGTTCTAGTGTTGCACTCATGTTCAGTATGGTGACCACAACCACTGGTGGCTGTCTTGTACTGCAGAGTGCTAAGCCCAGCTGATATGTGCTGTACGTTGAAAATAACTGCTGTATTTCAAAGACATAGTACCAAAAAAACCCAAAGGTACCTGGTTAAAGTGCTTATCTCTTAAGCAAAAGGTCAGTGGCATGATCTACTAGCTGCTCACAGACAAGAATTTGGTAGCCTGGCCCTGTAGAAATTTAAACTAAAGGAATCTGGGGTGGTCAAGTTGGATCTGACTTAGTGCTGACCCTGTAGAGGGTCTTAGACTGGAAATCACATGAGGGGAGACTGTTCACCGTCCTCCCACCAGAGTCATTGATGGATTCAAACTACCTGGGAGCCGTCAACGCTCGGCCAGCAGTGGGGTTTTTTATTTTAGCACAAAAAAAAGCACCATTCATATTTTAATTTGAGAGAGAGAGAGAGAGAGAGAGAG